CACCAAATTTGATGTTTGGGTTGGAGATGCCCTTAGGAAGCTGGGCAAAATATTAAGGCCCAATAAAACTCAAACTAATGACTTGATTACTTGGAACAATTAGAACTTGATCTGTGGGCCAATATACAAAGATGGCCCGGCCCATCAACATGGGCTAAAGCCCATTTGTTTAATTATGGATTGTGTTTTAATTATGTTAGGGATTGTGACTAGTTTGCAAATTTTCCCATTAATTTTCTCTTTCCATCCTTTTGGAAAAAATGGCACAACATGTACTCTCTTTTAACTAATTGGCGACATATAGCCCCTTTTTATTTTTATAACAAAAAAAGGTTTTTAAAATTAAAATTGGCATATTTTGGCCCTTTTGACCCACGTTAATATATGGGAAGTAATTTATATTTAAATTAATTATTTTTTAAGTTGGTGACAGCATGTTGCAGTTTTATTGGGAAGTGAGACTTTGTTCCCTTTTTTTTCTCCTCTTTTCTCATATACACGTTTTCTTTGATTGATGAATATTTATTGATAATATAAACATTTATATCATGCTTCTTCAATTCATTTAAACAAAAGTGTTAGCAGTTGATGTTATATCTTCTCTAGAAGATTTGCATGTCTTCACTTTTTATATTGTTGATAATTTTTTTCTTGGCTTTTAAATTTTTCAAGTTGAAAGTTTTCATATTTGGGCGAAAATTAAGGAGATAGTAATTGATTGTGGGAATCAATTGTCACGGTTAAGAAAAATATTCCTAGAATTATTCCTAAAAAAGGAGATTTTGATTCTGATTTTATTGAATCTCCACCCAAAACTTTAAATTTTAGTCATGCTTTGAATATTTTTGACTTGTGTAATGCTGAGCATTTTAATTTCCAAGTGCAATCCTCATTTACACACTGAAGGAAGAATCGGGAATGTATACAATTTTTTAGTGAATGAATACACGAATATGTATACATGAATTTTTGTATACATGATTGTTCATTCAAATGATAAAAACTCATTCATGTGATAAAAGATTATTCGATTCAGTGTTTACATATTTAGTGAATGAATACACGGACATGTATACATGCATGCATTGTATACATGATTGTTCATTCACGTGATAAAAATCCAATCATGTGATAAAAGATAATTTAGTTAACTGTTTACCCACGTTCTGTTTTTAATGTTGTGTGCCGCCTGTTAATATAGGCTAATTTGTGCTCTCTTTTTTTTTGTCTATTAAATGCTATTTAATTATGGGCTATTTGTTGTATATATATGTCATTTACTCATCCTTTTGAGTGAGCTACATTTTAACATCTTAAATGAATTATTTTCAAATAAAGAAAAAAAAAGTGAACTATTCTCAAAATCTTAAGCTTGCATCGAAGTATTTGGACTAGTGACTAATGAAATGAGATAAAAATTAGGGGAGATCATCGTCCAATTTTCAATAGAGAAATAAAAAATAAATACAGATAATTTCTAGTAAGCAAATTTATTTAGAATTTGTGCTAGTAGGAGGTGACATGTACTCATTACTCAATAAAATAGTCGATGTGCACTCGACATCGAGGATATTAGAAAAAAACCTTAACGCTTTTGCATTGAAACTTTACGTGAGTACAAAGATGATGCCCAATATTGTTAACCAAGATAACAGAAATATGTTTAATCAATCTGAAATTCTCTCTTTCTCGATTATGACGCTCTTTTCGCTCATTTTAAATCATCTCCTAGAGGGAGAACTCTCCTTATCAGAGGTTTTTCTATTTTCGAGTTTCAACTCGAAAACTTTGATTAAGGACGAAAGATTTTGAGCACATTTATGCAGGAAGTTTTTTGTTAGATCATACATATGTAGATTTTAAAATAGTGATAAGACACAAGTACTCTCCTAGACTATGATAAGAATTTTAAAGATACACTTTAACTAAACTAAGGTCCTATTACCCCTTCGAACCTATTTTTTAAAATAATTTTATACACCTTTTTGACTTACAATATAGTTTTTTTTCCTCCTTTGCGTCATTTTCTGATAACTAATTAGACATTATTTATTGCTACCTAAATAAAGTCAGCAAAGCATGATTGGCGAAGATACCATAAATTATTCAAAAGTTTATAATTAAATCCTAAGTTTTAAATTAACAGTTTTATAATACTATAGATAACATTATAAAGAAATAAATAATCAAGAAACTTCCCCACAATAGCTCATGAATACACTTTGAATTATTATTATTTTGCGATTTTCACATACACTATAATTATTAGTTATTTTGTTTTTGTATGTGAATTATATAATTACCAGTTGTTTTATTTTTTCTATTTAAATTATCACCATCTATATATCAAAACAAACTTAATTGAGTAGATAATTCATATAGGTGAGAATAACTGATAGTTGGGCTAATTAGCTTCGAGATGACATGGCATAGTACATAATACTTCCAAGGCTTTAAGAAGAGTTGATCCTTAGTCAGATATTTCAGGTTCAAGTCACGAGTATGAAATCACCTTGTTAAGAAGCGTTTTATCCCAATATGAGACTTTCGGGCGTGAATTCAAAGTTAGTCAACCTCAGTACATGTGTCACACATTGATGAAAAATAAAAAAGAAAAGAAAAAGAGATTGAATCTCTTATTGTTCATCAATAACTAACTCAATGATAGAATGGGCTGTTGTTAATCGATTGATCGTAAGTTTGGATTTATTTAACTAATCAACAAGCAAAAAACGTTCTTCTTGTTTTTTAATAAAATATAATAGCTCGATTTCCAGTATTTACTCTTTCAATCACTCATATATCCATCTCTTTCGCGCTTCGCCGTAATCGAGACATGACCAAATTTAATCAAGAGGTTGACTTGTTTAATTATTAGCATTGATTTGGACTTTCGAAAACATTATTTTCAACACGATCAAATCACTTGTGGACTAAACCATAATTCCACTTGGACCACATATCCTACCTAATTATTTCAGATTTTCTTTATTTTGTATTTGGGCTTAATCCATTTGTTTAGCCTATAAATAGTAAGTTTTTTTTAAGCTTAATATTGATATTTGATTCTATATATGGTTGGATAAAAAAATCTCTTTACTATAACAACAACATATTCGTTGTAAATTCATAAATTGAGGAATAAGGAGAGTAGAATATATGCATACATTATTATTATTTTTATAGGATAGAGAGATAATTTTCATTTGATTTTCGATTAAAAAACAGAATTTTCTTTACTAGTGTTTTGATAATTTATTTATGAATACTTCAATTAAATTCTTCCTCATTGGATGATTATATGTAGTTGATCATGTTTAGTTAATTAATGGAGTAAGATTATTTTATAGTATATACAAGTGTTGATTAATTCTTCCCATTGTTTGGTTGAATCTTTTCTTTCTTAACAACAACAATAATAACATATCTAATGTGATTTCACGAGTGATGTTTGAAGAGGATAAAGTATACAAAAATCTTACCTTACTTTGTGACATAGAAAAATCTTCCAAAAAACTCTCTATTCAAAAGAAAAAAACATATCAAAGGCACATATGATAAAAAAAAAACATTACAAAACATTCGAAATATTTTCTTTCTACTATTTATTAATTTTTTTGGGTTTAGTTTGATTTCTAGGTTTAGCAAGGAACTAACACAATATAATGCAATAGGTAATTAACAACCATTCACCACCGAAAGATGTGGTGTAGTAGATCAGAATACTCCTTCATTTATCAGATGTCTCAAGTTCGAGTCTTAAGTATGAAAAAAAATATTAGTAGGGAACGCTCTCCTCAAAATAGGGTCTTATACGGCGCAAATACAAAATAAATCTAAAAGAGTTGGACTTCAATATATGACACATTGAAAACTGAATGGAAAAAAAGTAACAATCATTCAGACAAGCTGTAATTAAAACCATTACCAATTTGCCATATATAATAATATAGTCTATATATATAGTTATAGTCACCAATTATATCATTTATATATTTCTCTAATTTCTAGTTCCTCCTCTATTCTAAAAAATAAAAAATAAAAAAATTGTTTGACAAAAAGAAAAAGACAAAATAACTAGAAAAATATTGACTGGGTATTACTAGTCCAAACAACCCAATGATGAAGTACACACCTTTGTTGTAGGCATGTTTTTGTTTTTTATACGTCTGCCCAAAATAGTTGTCTGTCCCCATTTCAATCCCACTTTTTATCTTCTATTTTTTTTACCAAATGTTCGATATCTCTATTAAAATATTTATTAATATACATTTATGTCGTGTAAAGTCATATAAGGGGGGAACACTTTGATATATGATTTAATAATCAAACACATATTTAAAGTATTATATTTTTTTCAAGTTTCATATCTAAACTATCAAGGTGTTCATGTTTTCTATCTGAACATTACTAACTGTTTATCAATATACACTTCAAAAAACTAACCAGATCACGTATTTGAATACATACATCGGAAAGCATGTAACAATTTTTAATTTGAACATAAAACTTCGTCCACGTGACAGTTGCCTCATTCATTTTGAGACGTATTTTGATAAATAACTGATGATAATTCACTTCAAGAAAATACAAACATATGATAGCTCCGGTAGAAAACTCACGAAATTTTGACCATTTTTTAAATTTTTTGATTAATTTCTTAATTACCCACATGGAGTGTCATTTAATATCATTTTTAAATAAATAAAAAGAAAGTATACCACACACCATCATATACTAATCGAGTTATGTTATTATTATAAATAATTGGTGGCAATTTAATTAGAAAATACAAATCGCTTGATAATTTAGATAGAAAACTCGCAAAACGTGAGAGTTTTTTTTTTTTAAACCATTATCTCATGTACTTTTTATATGAGTAACTATATCTACCTACATTTCAGCACATTGGGTGTTAAAAGAATTTATTTATGCAAAAAAAAGGAATAAATTAAATTTTAAATTAAAGAAAAAAGAGAGATTCTTGGCAGATCATTGTCCTTCTTGGTATTTGTGAATAAAATAAAAAAAATTAATTTCATTTACGTGAGGCTCTCAACTTTCCCAATTGGTTTTTGTCTCCCAAACTGTTGCAAATTCCTGGAAATTTTGAGAGTCTCTGTTGTTTTTTTTTGGGAGATTATTTCTTCTTGTTTTCTGGGAAAATTTGGATGTGGGTATTTGCTAATCTTGATTTTTTTGGGGGTTCTTGAGGATAAAAAAAAATGCTTTTTTAGTGAACCCCGTCAAGGAAATTGAGGTTTTTTATCTTCCCATTTGGTTGTTTTTGCATATTTTGTGTATTTGGGGGTGGAAAGTTTCATTCTTGGTAAATTTTCCTGGAAAATATTTGGTGATATTTGATATTTTTCTGGGAAAATTTGGTGGGGTTATTGAGGAATCTTGAAATAGTTGGAGGATTTGTGACATTTACAATCAAGAAAAGGTGATCAAAGATTTGATTTTTATGGGTTTTTCATAAGCTCAGGTAATTTTATTTTACCTCAAGTTGACAAAGTCCTTTTCCCCTTTATGTTTTTTTAGATATTGGTCACCATCAACATAGTACATATCATATATTTGTATATAGAGAAATTTGTCTATTTGATTGGTTGATTGATTGATTGATTGATCAAGTCAGAAAGTATATTGGTTTTGAGGTGTTGAAAGGGGTTCTTGAATTTGTTATTATCAATTTGACTTTGAGAATTATGTGTAAGGAAGGTTTAGTTGTGGGGTTGTTGTTATTAGTTTGTTAGAAAAGAAGGAAAAATTTGTGTGCAGAAGGGGATAGTTTAAGGTTAAGGATCATTGTGTTCCTTATCTTCTGCTAAACATCATGCCAGAACGATATCCGAAAACTATGAGATTTTTGAGCCTTGTGGGAAATTCATTTGGATGCTCTGCGTCAGGCGAGCGGTTAGTTTCTGCTGCTAGAGATGGAGATATCCAGGAAGCTAAGGCTTTACTGGATTATAATCCTCGGTTAGTGAGGTATTCGACTTTTGGTGTTCGAAATTCACCTCTCCATTATTCAGCTGCCCAAGGACATCATGAGGTATATTTAGAGTTTAATGCTTATTCATGATGGATATGAAGATAAACTTGATTGTGACATTGTTTAATTGAGCACTTAGTGGATTTTGTATGCGATCGATCATTTGACTGTTCTTTTTATTACCAGATTGTTAGTCTCTTGCTTGAGTCTGGAGTTGACATCAATCTCAGAAACTACCGTGGACAGGTAGATTTTTTTCTCATTACCGTTTTTGGTTTTAGTTTTTTCTATCTCAAGCACAATTCTTTATCTTATACGTAATTCTTCTTCGTTGATTGAAACTAGTATTTTGTCTTATGGTTAACAGACTGCTTTGATGCAAGCATGTCAGTATGGTCACTGGGAGGTCGTTCAGATTCTCATTCTTTTCATGGCCAATGTATGACAGTTTATTATTGTGGTATATTCAATTTGATAACTTAGAAGTACTAAGAGTGTTCTTAGTTCTTACCTTGTAAAATTTCAACTTTACTGGTTTTATAGAGTTGTAGGAGTGTGTTGAGATGGATTACGAGCTTTACTTACAGTTGCATTACATTGTAGATTCATAAGGCTGATTATCTCAATGGAGGTACAGCACTTCATTTAGCTGCTCTAAATGGACATTCTCGATGTATACGGCTTCTCCTTGCTGATTATATTCCCAGCATCCCTAATTTCTGTAATGTCATGAGAAAGAGATCAAGAAACGAAGACTCTATCCAGGAATTCGATGACTTGTAAATCTCTTTTTTCAAGCTTTACATTTGATTTTGGGTATCTCCCGCTGCTATCAAACTGTATTAACGTGAAGTTCTTTTGTGCTTGCTGTAGTGCACTACATGAGGTGATCAATAGACCTGCTGATGGTGGCATTACCGCCCTTCATATGGCAGCGCTGAATGGCCATGTGGAAAGTCTGCAGCTACTCTTGGACTTGGGAGCTTCGGTCACCAAGGTTACTGTGGAAGATGGGACTACAATCGATTTGATAGGTGAGACAACTTTCCAAGTTCTGCCTAGTATGCAACTCTTATATCACATTTGATCTCTTGAATGCCTTGTTTCCTTGTGCATTTTCCCTTCCCCTCTCCATCCCCACAATAATTTTTTTTTTTTTAAAGATTGTTATAATTGCTGATAATTGCTAAATTGTTTCTTATTATCTGTTCCTTCTATTCGTAAATGCCTATCTGCCATCTTTTACATATCATGTTGTAACTTTATTCTTTCTGAGGGAAACTATGAGATGTATGGTCGACTGTTTTAATAATTTTCTTGTGGTTCTTTATGAGAGAATTGTCTTAAAAGCTACACATTTACTGATCATGCTACAGATAACAGTCTCCATTTTAGAAGATCTGAAATAATTATAGCTTTTAACTGGCAATATCAATTTCCGATGGAGAATGAAATATTGATATTCTTCGGTGTGCTTTCAAAAAAAAAAAAAGAAGCAGAATTATAGATAAACAACAACTTTGCCTTAGTCCCAACAAGTTCAGGTCGGCTTTATGAATTTATCACTGACCATGTTTCTCCATTCAAAGCAAAATTAGAGATAGCAATCATTTATTCAGTAGTCTTTTATCGGAAGGGTAAAACATGTTTCCATTTTCAAAAGCATATGCAAACTCTGTCGACCTGATCAAATATGTGAATATCCACAACCTTGTAAATTAGTTTGCTCTAGTTCATGGAGTTTCTGGGATGTCGAAGAAGAAGTTGCATGGTTGTCATGCCCTGAGTTTTGATGATGTGCACTAATTACCGTTGTGACATTTCCTTGCAAGCTTTGTGCTTCTTCTTTTTTTGACACTTTAGCTAGTGTAAATCATGAGTAATGTACTTTATACTTAAGGAGATAACGTCTCTTGTATTTGAGAGAGAGAGACCTCGCTCATCAGATTCACGTATTACTCGATATCTTTCAGAAAGACGTATTAACGAGGCAGATATGAGATGACCGACACCTATTGCACCCTTGTGGTCCGGCCCTTCTCCAGACGCCACACATAGCGGGAGCTTAATGCACCGGGCAGCCCTTTAGGAAGATAACAAATAGGAACTTAATACCACCTGAAACTCTTATTCGGTGGCAGATTAGGTCTCGGTTCCGCTTTTATTAAGCATCAGTTCCAAAAGTCCTTGATATGTAGCGCCTAAAATTTAGAGGCTTCATGCCATGAGTCAAGGAAAAGAGTTAATATCGTCTTTTTTTTCCTTCTAAAAGGTAAGTTCTTTGCCTTGCAGGTGCAGGAAGTACACCGCTTCATTATGCTGCATGTGGTGGGAATGCTCAGTGTTGCCAGGTGTGTTCCTCTTCTGCTTGCTTTTCTTTATGATTTTTCTGGTATAGTTGGTGCAAGTTCTGAAGTCATCATTTTCTATTCCATCTTTCAGCTTTTAATTGCCAGGGGTGCCAGTCTCAATGCAGAAAATGTGAATGGGTATGATATCTTTACATGCTTTAACATCTTCAACATGTACTAAAAGTGTGTGGTCTAGTTTCCCTTATCAATATTATTAGTAGTAGAGTAGAGGGTCAAAAACACACCTAATGTATCCCATTTTTTCGAGTTTTATATGTGAACTATCACCAACTATTTGTCAAAACATACCTAAACTATCAATTGTTCCTTTTGCCTACCTGAATGATGGTGATGTTTCAGGTAGGAAAAGGGAACAACCATGGAGAGTTAAAAGTAGTATAGCTAACTGCTAATCATGCTATTCCATGTCGTATTTAAGAATTAAAGAGATGATATAGAAGGATTTACGGTGTTGAATTATTGAAACAAATAAATATTGTCTTATTCTCGTATAGTAACTCTGCTAGTAGTTCTATCATGGCTTAGATAAATCTTCTAACTTGCATATTATTTACGTGTTTTAAGGTGGACATCCTTGATGGTTGCTCGATCATGGCATAGAGATGGGCTGGAGGAGATTTTAAGTACTCGTCCAGAAAAACAACCACGTCCCCTTCCTTCACCATTCTTATGCCTCCCTCTTATGAGTATAGTGAAGATTGCTAGGTGAGTCCAGTTCAGCAAATATTGGTCTCGTTGATGCTCATTCATCAATTTGGCATTATAATGACATATTTCATCTTAAGGGTTTATGTACTGGTGACGATAAGGAAGTAGATTCATGTAAATTGACCCATCGGCAATTGGTATCCAATCTGAAGACTCTATTTTCAGAGTAAAATATCTTGTCTCCACATCTCGTTTACCACTGTGATATTTAGAATAAGACTATCTGTGTCCAGGAGTTCTGTTGTGTATGCTGGTTTTCTTAAAATTCTTTTGGGTTTTGTCGGGGTAGGGTGCGAGGTAGAATAAAGAAAAAAATTAAATTATTGTGACAGATTTGCCACAAAACCTGTGTTGCTTGGACTCTCTAAAAATGTTGTCATGCCCGTTTCGGATCCTCAAATGATGCACTACTTTTGAAAGATCCAACATGCACCTATTGATATTTTTGAAGTGTCCGAGCAACATAGGCCCGAATCCAAGGGTGACCAAACTGTTAATTCTTGTATCTTTATCGAAACCTTTGTGTTGTGTAGCACCACCCTTTTACATCTCATGAAGGTACTAAATATTCATGGCATATTAAAAAGTGGGAAAAATGTGTATTTCCTTTGGCTTTTATGGTATGCATCTTCCTTTTGATGAAAGTATTTGGAATACGCTGATGGCTGTCCCACAAGCTTTAAATTCAAGTGCGACTAAGCAGTATGCATCTGGATAGCTCTTTATTATGTTGCATTTCCAAATTCTAGCACGGATAACATTAATCATTGAGTCAATTTATGTGATTTACCCTTGTGGTGTACCAGTATCTGATCTTCATGATAAAATGGTGAAAGATCACTATTTCCAGCTTCTGTTTTCTTGTTATATTTCAATAGAATATCGTTCTCTTTCAGTATGCCATGTGCAAGTTACATATTGATAAGGCTCCGGGTGAGAATTCTGAAAATAAGTTGTCATTTTCTGCAGAGAATGTGGATGGAGAACAATTGATTCCCCGTCATCAACTTGTTTAGACCCTTGTGTTGTTTGTCTTGAAAGAAAGTGTACAGTTGCTGCAGAAGGTATGTCTTTCTGAAACTGCATGAAATTGATGTTTAAACATGAAATGGTTGATAATTTACTATAAAGATTTCTATAGTAGTTTTTTGTTATATTCTTTTACTTCCAATTGATGTCTAATGAGATTAAACTCTATTTTCTAATGGTATATTGAAGAATTTCCTATGATGAGTGATGAGCCTCTATTGAGATATTCTCGAGTTGAGACCATGTAACTCCACAAAAATTAAAACTAAGGAAAGATGTTCTCCGTTTCTAGAATACATACTCGTCGCTGGATACAGTTTTCCTTCTTCACATGGCACTAGAACTCCAGAAGTTCTTGAAATTTCAGTATCGTGATATATAATATGCTCAAGGCTGGAAGTTCTTTTTTTCCGATGCCCTTGTCATATACATATATCTGCACATTTACATGTGAATTGATTGATATAGACAACATGATTGATTACTGTTCCTCTTTGATCTTTTTCGTGCTAGCTGGATTTATCGTTTTTTAGATTTGTTTATTATTTATGGCGTATTCAATCTATGGAAGCTTATGTGATGATATTGCTTTTTTTCTTTGGTAGCATTGTACCCGATATGCCAGTCTAGTTGCTGCAGTACCTAATGCTTGCCATGTTCTGCAGGTTGTTTTCATGAGTTCTGCACGCGCTGTGCATTGTACCTGTGTTCCACCAGTAGCACCTCAACCGCGGCCCATGGCCCTCCAGGTTCGATTCCTTGCCCTTTATGTCGACACGGCATTGTTTCATTCGTTAAGCTGGCGGATACGATGCCAATCATCAAGGAAGCAGCGCGAACGAGTCTATCGTTGCCTTTTTGTTCCTGTACAGCTGATGGACAAGAACCAACTTCATTAGAAACACCTTTATGCAAGCCTGATTTATATTGCTCCCGACTCTCCCCTCTCGGCTCTTCCTTCCGGTCGTTAAGCTGCCAAAAGTTCCCGGCATTGAAATTCAGCCCAGGCCTTTGTATGGGAACGCCAGACACGAGTCCATCTTTAGTTCCAAGAACCGGTGAACGAGAACATCTGACTCGATGCTCACGACCTATCTTTAGGCGATCAACGTCAAACGTCGAAGCTAGAAGATGGTTATGTTCCTTCAGCCAATCTGTAGAAACTGGAAGCAGTTTCTGAAGGGTGCATGAATTAGGTCCTATGCCTATTTCAACTATTAATTTACAGAGAAATCCTACAGGTTTTCCTCTTTATTTTGTTCCCTTTTTTAAAAAATTTTTTTGGTTCCCATTTCTTCAAAAGAACTTTTGTTTGTATACCTCTTTGAGTCTTATCCACTAAAATGTAATTGAAATATGAAGTTTGGCCTGTATATAATAAGTAACATATGTTATATAAGTGAAATGGAAAAAGAATCCTGGGCTGGTATTTATTGAGTTTTCTGTTCTGTGTCTCTGTATAAACATACAACAACAAAATACCCAGGAATCTCGAGAAGGTAGAGTGTATGCAGACCTGATCTTACCCCTACTATAGAGGTAAAGAGGTTTTCGATAGACCCTCGGCTCAAGGAAAAATAAATTAAAGTGATCTAGAAAAAAGAAGTAACGGATGTGAAAGCGTAATAAAGCATGTTGAACAATAACTACAATAAAATAAAATGAATATCCAACTACAAGAAATAACAGATAGTAACAAAGATCAAAGGACAAACAAATATAAGAGTAATACTAACATTATTAGTATGGAAGGATTAGCTAGACAATGATCTACTGCCTTCTAATCTACTATCGTAATTCATGTCCACGACCTCCTATTTAAGGTCATGTCCTTTGACGTGACTTTGTTGGATGGAAATTTTTTGCCTTGTTCATGAGTTTTAATTGGCAACTATAACTATGATACTATATTCACTGAGATATTGTGTGGTTAAACTTTTCGAAAGCATGTGTTGACAACTTTAGCCAATTCGTTTCATTTTATTTCCAAATGTGAATCCTAATCGAAGCAATTAGCCCCGATTCTCTTTTTAGTGTGGAGAAGACTTGAAAAGAATTTTCCTAGCATGGTTGATATCAACATGAAAATAAGAATGTTGAATCCATATTCTTTGAAAACGACAGACCATACACAAACATGTGAGTATTATAATCTTCTAAGAAAATTACTAGATGAGAGTGATCAAAAGATACTTTAGGCTTGTAATTATTGTAACCAACCAAAAGTTCATCTGACCCCAAAGGCGATACATATCCTGTAAAAACTGTCACAATCATTAATTGGTGTACTACAAATCTGACGCAAAAATTAGGCGATGACAGAGTGGATTGTGATTGAGTGATAGACTGATCGATAACGAAACTTTATGACAGCTTTTTCGTAGATGTTCAACTTGCATCACATCGTCTTCAACCAAATTACTCCAAATAGTAGAATAGAAAATGAAACATACAGTGAAATTTTCTAGGTTTTACTCTCTGAAGAGAAAAAGGACTCCACTCCAACTGGAACTCTCTTAGCATGTATTAATTGGTAGTACTTGTGAGCATTGGTAAAAAGTTGAAACTTGTGTTATTTGGAATTTACCCACAAGAGTGAAAAATCTCACTACTAACAAAAAAGGAAGTTTTCGATAGAATCGGTTAGAAATTTATCAAAAAATTTACCAGAAACATATTATCAATCGAGCTAAATTTTGATAGATTTTTTGACTAGACATTCATTGGAATTCCTCTCTTTAAATAGTGTTTCTAATTATAAGAATCCCGAATTAGCATGTTATATAGTGAGGGCATTTATTTGAATATTCACACTTTTTTTTTTCGTACCTAATATTGAAAGTTCAATATAAATTTCCATCGATCGAAGCTTATGTATTCTCTTAATAAACCATCATTCTTATTTTAATAGAAAGAGAGAAATTAATATAATTGAATTATCATATAAAAATATAGATTTAACTTTACTTTAATATCATTCTGGTTTAAAAAAATTTCTCACTATAATATTTGACCAAAAATTTCAAGATGGCCTACTCAATTGATGCTCTTATAATCAAACTGTTTAAACATAGTGCTTCAGGGTACAAAATGGGGTACTTTAGTCCTCTTTTACACAATAGAAGTATAAAAAAATGGAAAATGTGAAAACTTATTTGATAATAAATTTAAAAAAGGACATTAAAAAATTGTCACTGTCTCTAATTGGCAGAAATGCTATATCTAGATGTGACAACAATCATCACTATTTCACTTATTTTGTCTTGTATGGTGATTAGTTGTAATTTTTAGAGGCGGGGTACAATAATTTTGTTATTACTATATATTAGAAGAGTCTAGGATTTACTATCATTGTTTCAATTAAATCATTACAAATGTCCAATACTTACTATATAAAATATACAAGTGGGTCCCACCTCCTTCCACTTAAATAATATTTTTCAACCTTATCATGGTCAAAGTTGAATTTATTATCCTTTTCATTTAATTTTATATGATATAATTTTTTCAATAATATCATAATACATGTTTTAAT